TTACACCCATGGTGCCGTCATTAGATTTCGCAAGCGACAACGGTGTACCAGCTCCAATGCCATGGTGAAAGTTTGAGTAAAACATGCTAACTGTTCTGTCTTTGGCTGCACAGACGAGCACAGAACACAGCCTCAGAGGAGACGAGAGCAGTGAATTTATTGATTTATTTACTGTATATTGCTGCTGCCACACAGATCTAAAATAAACATGTGATTTATTTCCCAGCTGTTTACCTTCCCAGACATAACCGACTGTTTTTGTAGCTCATGTGTGTTTTTAACGTAAACTTGTGTGTGAATGAGAACTTAGTTTAGTACTCACATGCTGTGACAGCCGCTTTCTGTACGTGTGCTTCGGATGTGTGCTCTCAGAAAACCGTATATCAGAAGTTTAAACTAATATGGTTTAAAACGCATGATTTCAGCGCGATAAACATGATAATCAGAACCAAAACAGATGTTTTTTAGCAGGTACGAGCTGTAATGGCGCAGCTCTATTCTGGAAAAGGGGGTGGGGAGCAGCAGCTCATTTGCATTTAAAGAGACAGGCACAAAAAACAGCGTGTTTCTGCTTCCACTCAAAAAAGGGATTTTCAAAATTATATAATAAATGATCTGTGGAGTATTTTGAGCTGAAACTTCACAGACACATTCTGGGGACACCAGAGACTTATATTACATATTGTAAAAAGGGGCATAATATGTCTCATTTAAAGGCCTCGTACCCTGTGCTGTTAACTACAGACTGATACAGTATATTTTAATTTGATTTACATTTTAAAATATTGAATCAATTGTTTTCTGAAGTTTTAATAATTCATTTAATTTCCACAGTTTTTGATGATAAATTTGAATTAAAACATAGAACACAGAATCTGGAAAAACTAAAGCAGCAAATAAAATTGAATTTAGGGGAAAAAAAGAAAATGTATTTCTTTTTATTTTATGATAATCAAAAAATAATGGTTTGATTAAACCACTAAAATGGAATCCAGAAAAATTAAAACCGAAAACACAGAATTGGGAAAAATCAAGAGAGGGCCCTACGTTTTCCACCGTGCAAAGATGCTGCTAAATAATGTATGCTAATTATCAGAAGCACTAATTACAGTTAAATAATTCCTGCATGATAAGATAACAAATGTCTAAAATAAAGTTCATTAGCCAGACCGATAAGCATAAGCTTTCATAATTGATGTTGCTGATAGATTGTCTATGGCATTTTACATAGTTCAGCCTGTTTCTCTCTCGAAATGCGGTTTCACAACATTAGTACTGAGGATTTTACCAGCATACATGAGTGGATTTGTCATGAATATATAATAGTGATGAAATAAAGCTGTTTTAAATTCAATTCTTGGAGTTCTTGGCATGTCTGCTAACATTTATCAGGCAGCGCCTCGAGTGTGCATTAAAGAGATATCAAAGACGGGAATCTCTATACCAGAAGCCACTGCTGTCGGTTGCATTCATGTTTTATCAGTATAGTTCTTTAATAAGATTTGGATTTAGAAGAAGCTGAAACGATGGATATATTTCTCAGGGTGGGTTTATTTTAGAAAGTAAATTTTGATACAAGTGAATACAATATTGTGTTAGCTAAAAAAAAAAGCTATTGAAGTGTTTTTCCTCTGTTATTGCCCAGGAAATAAGATACAGTTCAGTAAACACATTGACCTTTTGTGGCACGTTGTCAACGTATTTGGAGTAGGTTGTCCTGACATTAAATAGCCCATTATAGTCTTCTCAACAAAATGTAAAGGAATAGTTTTTTCCATGTTTTGCAACACCACAAGGTGTTCTAGAGGAAAAAATAGGAATTCTAGATATAGATAAAAGTTGCTAGAATACTCACCTCACACACTGTTTTCTATTGTAGGTATTTTATTTGTCTCCTGAACTGCATGCATCACTTACATCAGCGAGGGTCAGAAAATCTTTCTAACAGTTTGACTTCAAATTTTGTATTGCGATGCATTTGCTAACAATCTTGCCAGTGCCCATTTTTACTTATTTTGCTTGGCGAGTGTTTATTTTGGACACACAACTTAAAATACAGATTCAATTAATTTATTCATTAATTTATCATAATAATCATGTTTCTGAATTGATGTCTGAGAACATGACACTGAGTGGTCCTTGTCTAATGCTACTTTAGTTCTGTGTCAATGCAATGCAGCATCAGAGCAGTCTTAAACTTTGAAATTGTCATGACAGGATATGGATTATTATACAATTTTATAATGTATTATTTTTTGTTTTATCATTTATATTTGCATTAGTTTCATGGTTCTATATTCTTAATTTTGTATCTAAAATAAAGATTAATTTCTTCTTATTTCTGAGATTGTACACATTTATTATTGAGCATTATTTCATTAACCGCATTTGATCAGAAATACATTAAATAGTAATATTATTGTGAAATAATATTACAATTTTAAACAACTTTTTTTCCCTGTTAATATGTTTTAAAATGTAATTATTCCTGTAATGCAAAGCTGAAGCTGTTTGAGCCCAAAGTTTAAAATGGTAGTGTAATTTCTGTGTAAATACATGTTTGCCTTCTCTGTGCAGCACTGAACACTTTTTAAATGTACCTTTAGTGGTATACAGTATATGTGGTTTAAAAATAGAAGGCAAAATTCTGTTTCTAGTTTAATCTATCTGCAGCTTCTCCCATTAAACTGCCAGCTTACCCTTACATTTTTCGAATACTTTAGTTACTTTAGTCTCTTCCTTCCCGTTTCCTTATCCTGTATCCATTATCTGATTGTGCCTCTAATGGGTGCTCTTAGTGGAGTCAAAGCACCAAATCCAATCTATCACAGTAAAGTCTAAGCGCTAAGCCCTATGTCTAGCTATTGCTCTGTTGTCTGGAATAGGTGATTAACCGAAAAATGTTGGATGCCCTCTGCTCAAATAAACGACATCATATTAAATATTTAACAGGACTAAAATTAGATGCCCACAACTCTATCCATTAGGAACAGAGTTTCAGCATTTGAGACCGAATATAGAAAGGAAAAGATTGCTTGCTGTTCACAGGAATGATGATCTGTTTTACTTAAATCTCTGTGTAGGCTTCAAACTACACAACTGTTAAAAAGTTTGGGGTCAGTAAGTTTTTTTTGTTTGTTTGTTTTTTGTTTTTAAAGAAATTAATACTTCTTCCACAAGGATTCAATTCATCAAAAGACTTCAAATAAATGCTGTTCTTTTGATCTTTCTATTCATCAAAGAGTCTTGAAAAAAAAAGTATCATGGTTTCCACAAAAAAAAATAAGCAGAACAACTGTTTCCAACATGGATGATAATAGTAAATGTTTCTTGAGCATCAAAACAGCATATTAGAATGATTTCTGAAGGATCATGTGACACTCAAGACTGGAGTAATGGCTGCTGAAAATTCAGCTTTGTCATCGCAGGAATAAATTATATTTTAAAATATATTAACCAGAAAACAGTTAATTGTATTTCGCAATATTACTTACTTTACTTTATATTCGATCAAATTAATGCAGCCTTGATGAGCATAAAAGGCTTCTTTCAGAAACATGAAAAACTCTGTTGTACAGTATTTCCTAGAGAAAATACCATTTAAAAAGAAATCCAATTACCAGTTTTTCCTCCTAAATTTGCTGCTTTAGCAAAGCAAATCGAAGTGGATGTTCTAATCCCACTGGTCTTGATGCAGTAGGAGCTGATGGGTTATGTATGTTAGCGTCTGCCTCTCAGCATTGGCTATAGCAGGGACGACTGGCTATCTCTCCGCTAGCACTCCCTATGAGTACAAGCGTTTTCCATCCAGCGGTTTCGTCTGCACTCAATAATCATGGTTTGTTTGATGGGCATAGCCCAAACCATAATTCAGTATTTACTCAAAAGCAATAGATAAAGCCTTATGAGTGCCATTAATTTTGATCCTCCTCGCTTTTAAACAGAGACAGATCGGTGTCTTAGGGAAAATTAGCATTTAAATGACTTGTGACCTGCAGTCTCCAGTCAACTCGCTGCGAAAACTTCTCAGCCATGAGAAATCCTGCTCTCTCCTTTATTTGATCTGTAGCTCAGAGTTATTTTCTGTGTGTGGATGTGTGGGTGTGGGTAAATTCATCCATTTATCTACACAGGTAGATTTTCTTGTGTTTTTTCTCTTGTGTCTCAGGGGAATCTCAGGTCAGCAGGGCAGATGCAGTTGTGCTGATGTTTTTATTGCAGTCTCATATCTGAGTTTAGGTTCTGTGATGCTATTACTGGGATATTTTAAACCATTTTCTGCCCTAGATTTAATAAACCTGCCTCAAAAGAAGTAAAATCTAAATAATCTACCTTTTTAATACCTTTTTTATTGCTTGCATGAAGGAGCTTCAAAAAGCTTGAGAATATTACCATTCATGAAATATAGATGTGAAAATAAAACACCGTTATGTGCTGCTCTGGATGATGTGGAAATTTCTGTGTCTCATATGACAGATGACGACAAATTGAGTCTATTCTTACCATAAAAGAAATCCTTTTTAATCTTTACATCTAAGATAGTTTAGGTTCTCTATTGGCATCTGTGGTTCTACAAAAACCTTTAAAATCCATGAAATCTTTATACCACACAAAAGGTTCTTTATAGTGATAAAAGGTTTTTTAAATTTTCTTCACACTGTGAAAAAAAATATTATTTTAAAAACTGTTCACTGAAAGGTTTATTTGGCAACCAAAAATTGTTCCGTCTATGTCATCACTGCAAGAACCCCCGTTTGGACCGTTTATTTTAAAGACTAGTCCTAATGCAATAATTTTCAATGGTTCCATAACGACCTTCTGGGTTAGTCTCCTATTGAATGATTAGATCTCTTGGCAGAGGTTTCAATTAGCGCAGTTGGCATCCCACAGCTTGCAAATCAATCCAGTAAGCCCAGGCAGGCATCACTGGCTTCCTCAGTCGCGGTCTGCTTTCAAATGGCTTCTATTTTAATGTTTCTCTTCTCTTTGTTCTCTTACAGTGGGGAAGACTTCCCTGATCACACGCTTCATGTACGACAGCTTTGACAACACGTATCAGGTAGGCAGCTGGCGGGCCGCTTGACGTCCTTGTCATTCTGTCACTCTCCTTATTGTGCAGCATTCTTCAGAAAACATAATGGGCTGAGTTCAGTCTTTCATTTGTGAAGACAATTCTTCCAAATTCATTATAAATGTTCAACATGATTGTGTGGTTATTGAATCACAAACACATTTGCAAAATTAGATTATTCATCCTATATTCACCTCCAAACTAATCTGAATCAGCAGCAGCAGAGATGAATATACATATATGGTCAGTTTCATTATCACACTGCATATGATACTGTGTAGCGAAACTCTTGGTAAATGGGAATCCAGATTTTCAGTGAAAGCACACTGCAGGTTGTTATAGACTGTTGTTGAATTGTTGAATAATGTGGGGGTGGAAAGCATGCTGTTTGAAACATCTCAAGGGAAGTGTTGTCTATATGAGCTTCATATTTTTTAATTAAACCTGTGAGAGAGCTGGTATATGGTAAAAGAATCCACCTCATGTGAGATGTGTTTTGTCCCCCAAGATGATTTTAAAGTCATCATGAAAATTCACAATTCGTTCATGTACTGTATATGTAATGTTTCATCACAATGTTACAACTCAATCTTCCAGTGAAAACAACCAACGTATGCCACCATTCTACAATAGACTGCACCTCGCATTCATTTTGAGTATAACACCAACATCTTAAAATCCAACCAACAACTGATGGATAGAACCAAGCCCCCACCCTACTTTTTTTTTTTTTTTTGACTCTGCCTGCATTTCTGCAAAACTAGTCAAGTCACCTTTATTTGTATAGCGCTTTATACAATACTGGTTGTGTGAAAGCAGCTTTACAGTGTCAAACAGGAAAATAGTTTGTCAATAATGCAAGAAGACAACAACAAAGAGTCATTTTTTCCAGCTAAAGTCAGTTCATTGATGATTCAGTGATGTCATCATCCAGTTCAGCTCTCTTCCAATAGTGTCTGTGCCACTGATCTATAATAGAGAACTGGATTGCTCATGATATCATAAAAGTGAAGCCGCCGCACCACCATATTGGTATATGCATTTCCTAGCATTCCCATACACTCTATAGGAAATCGTACGATTTTAATGAGAAAACATCACCCAACGAGTCAGCGTTTTTATATATTAAGTATCCTTGTACATTCTTACAACGCAAACCTCCTGAGCATGCAAATGGTTATTTGTTTAATGTCGAGAATTTCCCCTGTGTATTAAAAAGTTACGTGTCCTATACATTACCGTAGTGAATATCAGATGAACATGATGAACATCAGACTGAGAAATCCACAACATATGCAAATGACAAAGTGCTCATGAAATCTGAATTAAGATTTATGCTTTGTATGTATTCGCCTTGTATGTTCACGGTTTATGTAATTATGTTGTTTTTTATTCGTACAGTACGGTAACTGCAAATGTTTTTCTAACAATGATTTGGTTAACAGCATTCATTTTTTAGCAGTTAATGATTTAAACGTCAGTTAAATTAATAATTAATTAAACACATTAGGCTACTCCTGGAAACTGTAATGCTAAAATGCCACAGAATTTCCGCAATCTTGAGGAGTCTGAAATAGATATAGCCCCCTCAGGACATAAAATAATACACACATCATAACGTATTCAAAGACATAACACTGACATTCGTATGCTACGGACTTAAAGACATGAAGCTTTATTTCCAAGCTGATGCGTGGTAAGCTCTGAATTTCAAAACAATAGATAAAGTTATATAAAGTACATAAAGAAATATATTTTGTGTAGCGAATCAGCTCAAAGGGGAAATATGAATAATTAATCATAACTAGTTATAATTTGTTGGATCAGTCACCTGTGTCAGGCAAGTGTGCAGCTGACACACCCACCTAAACGATTTCAATATAGCGCTTATCCTGCCCGAAAAGACCATACACATTGCAGATAACATTTTGGTAAAAATTAATTTACATACACTTATCTTAAAAACTAATCCCGTGTGACTGATACGCTTCAAATTGGGTGATTTTAAGTCAGTGTTTTGGCTGTCAGTCAATGGTGCTCTCCGCCGGTAGGGAATAGTAAGATGGCCGCTCGAACACTTTCGGTGGTTTCACCGTTGAATGGAAGTTTAGAACGCGATGAGCGATCCAGTCATTTATATAGATCAGTGGTCTGTGCAATCAGTCAAGTGTCCCCAACTAATCAAGCCAAAGGCGACAGTGGCAAGGAACCAAAACTCCATCGGTGACACAAATGGAGAAAAAAACCTTGGGAGAAACCAGGCTCAGTCGGGGGGCCAGTTGACACCAGATGACACCAGCATGGCGTGGTTTAATTCCAGGCTGCAACACAGGTGCAGAGTAGTGTTGTTTTTGGCGGCCTGTTTGCTTCGCAGGGGATCTGTCTCTGGGGAGCATCTAGTTGACAAAACTACATACATACATTTCACTGCAGTTTCCAGGTGAAATAGACTAGACTAGTAATAGATTAGTGGCAGTAAAACATCAACAAGCGCCTTTTGTAGAAGTGTCATCTAAAAAGTGCTGCAAAATCTACCCGTAGTGTTCTGTCCGCAAGGTTATGCAGAAATTTTGTCACAGTAACGTATTTCCAATGAGCCTGTGTTGGAAATGTTGCTTCTTATGTTTCATCATGACTTTAAAGAAAAGTCAAGTAAGTCACTTTTATTTATCGCTTTAAACAGTACAGATTGTGTCAAAGCAGCTTTACAGTGTTAAACAGGAAAATAGTGTGTCAATAATGCAAAAATTAAAGTCTGCTGTAGAGCAGCTCTAAAAAGAGGACAATAGTAAACAGTACATTTTTCAGTCTGTTCATCGTTGATTCAGTGATATCATCGTCCAGCTCATTTCAGTTCTCTTCAAATAGTGTCTATGGAATCAAGTCGACAATATTGCCAAAAATTAAAGGCACAATATGGAAGTTTTCGCCGCTAGAGGGCGCGCATTAAAAAAAAAAAGAAAAAAAAAAAAGGCATAGTTTGATGACGCCGTGACTGAGTGTGGAATCATGGGAGTTGTCATCTACATCCCCACAGCCGAAGCAATCTGACGGGACTTGGGCAGAAATCATGTTCATGGATGAGCTAATGATTTATTAACGTTGTAGTATAAAGCAGAGTGAGGCTGAAAGCCGTCGAAGCGAAACGAGGCCGCTGAACGAGCGCGACACATGGCTCGAAAGCAGCTAAACTTTTATTATACCACACTTTAGCGCTACCGCTCCTTCCGGTCGTGAGTATGTGGGGTAAAGCAGTGCTGTTTTATCATACTGGATACATTTGAAAGTTCTATTATAATACTACTCTGTGCGGTCGTCTTTGGTGTTTCCAAGTTTTCTACAAAACAACCGAAAATCGAGGGTGTATGACGTCATTGGCAGGCGACACAATGACACTATGGACACGGTCCGTGTCACTAGTTAAAATTGCTTATTTCTCTGGATTTAAACATTCTTCGAAACATTTGGGATAATGTAAGTACACAAGTCAGCAAAATATATAACACTGTTCTAGTGGTTTTTGGATATTTTAATAAAAAAATCGTACATATTGTGCCTTTAAGTGTCCCCAAATAAGCAAGCCAAAGTCAACAGCGCCAAGGAATCCAAACTCCATCTGTGACATAATGGAGAGAAAAAAAACAGTTCTCCTCTGGCCAAACACACAAAAAGAGCTCTTAATGAAGCTGAGATTCCAGAATCTCGTTTCAGACCGCCATTAATGACTGTGGCCATGCAGTTATATTTATTGCTCGAGGAGGTTCATTGATAGCAATTGAATTTGACTTAAACCAAACAGTTTCTTGTGTCATCTGCATATGAATAAAATATACTGCCTCATCAGTGTCACCTTTGAGAAGTAAAAGGCATCTTAATGAGCTGTTACTCTCTACAGTTACGCTGGAGAGAGGAAGGGATACCAGCTCTTTTCTAATTTACATATTCTTGAATAAGCTCAAATCAAGCTGCTTCTCAACATTGAGATTGATCTTAAGATGTCTAGCAGTGGGCTTTCATGATAGCATATGCCAGAAGAGTACAGATTGTGTCAAAGCAGCTTTACGGTGTTAAACAGAAAATAGTGTGTCAATAATGCAAAAATAAATAAATAAATAACAAATTCAATTCTGCTGTAGAGCAGTTCTAAAAAGAGGACAATAGTAAACAGTCAATTTTTCAGTCAGTTCATTGTTGATTCAGTGATATCATCGTCCAGCTCAGTTCTGTTCTCTTCAAATAGTGTAATGTCTAGCAGTGGGCTTTCATGATAGCATATGCCAGAAGAGCAGTGAGCATCACCCCAACTCCTATCATCTGTCAATCTTCTGCTCTATGCAAAATGAGAGAGGCACATCTGCATATTTATGACTTTCCATCTGATGTAGATTAATCGCTGTCGGAGTCTGTATTACATCAACATTTAGAGAGAAATCTGAGTAGAAAATGACCATTTAGAACAAAAGCTCCTGTATTTCCCTAAATAGACCTCAGCTACCAGACACATACTCCAGGAAATGAAATGGCATTATTTTAAAATTGTTGCTTGCAATTTATGTTGGTGGTATATTAGGGGTGTGCCGGTGTAGTGCCTAAATTTGCACCCTGCCAGATTATGCACCACCTAGTATTGGTAGGTTTAGGAGTAGGTGTGGGGGAGGGGTTAGGATTAGGGATGGAGACACCCTGCTGCGTTGTCACGGGAACATGCCAGCTGAAGATAATGAGGAAATTACTTTGCCAAGTGCATTCCAAACGACTACATAATAGCATGCACGTGCCCTGCTCACTCCAAAGTCCCCACTCCAAGAGGAGGTACATAATCTGGCAGGGGTGCAGTATTCGGCACAACACCGATACGAGTATCGGTACTGAACTCGTTCACCGGGCAAATTCCAAATGGAAGTGATCATCCCTATCCCCTTGGAGTGGGGCCTTTGGAGT